CTTGAAGTATTTTGCTTATATAGACCTGATATTGGTTATGTATAAGGAATGACTTATGTTGGATCAATCTTATTAACATATTTTGATGATTATCAAGCTTTTCTTATTTTTAGTAGTTTAATAACACATCCTCAATTAATATCAATATTTATGCTTGATGAACAGAATCTATAAATAATATTTCAATAATTTGAAAAACTAATTAAACTCAACATACCTCAAGTTTATAAACTATTTAAATAATATAATATAAATTGTACTAATTATTTGTTAGATTGGATATTAACTCTATATGCAAAACCTTTGAATCCAGATATTGTAGGTAGAATTTGGGACAGAATGTTATTTAATGGTACACATATTCTTTGGAAATGTGGAATTGCTATATTAAAGATATTAGCTCCAAAATTTAAAGATTAAGAGAAAACTCTTTAGAGTTTAAAGAATCCTGATATTAAAGATGATGATTTATTATAAGAAATGAAGAGTGTTAATTATCCCTTTGAGATTTAAGAGGTTTTAGGTAATATTGAATTATGATATACTTCACATGCATATAATTATTCTCTTTGTGATATTCACATTTGATCAAAATATTTATATAAATCTATCCAACCAATTCTTTTATCTTGATCATATTCTAACATGGAATTTATAATGAACTATGTTTTTTATGATATTTTTATGTTTTCATTATGAATGATTTCTCTTTATAAAGTATTATTTTACTTTTATTTTTTGTTTCATACAAATAGATTTAATGATTCTAATCAGAAAATGGTAATTCTCCATAAATCATCAAGTAGAACAAACATCCTAAACTAAATATATCAGCTGTATTTTAATATTATTTTGATTGAACAACCTCAGGTGCCATATAACCAAGCATTCCAATAGTTAAAGTCATAGGATTATCATTATTATACTAAATACATAATATTAAGTGTAGACTTACTGAATCCAAGATCTCCTATCTTGATTTAATCATTATGTAATAAAATATTCTTCATTTTAATGTCTCTATGCATCACATAAGATTTCTAAAGATCTTGCATTCCTTTAAGTATTTGTTTCACATATACAATAGCTTATTCTTCACTAAAATGTTTATTTTAATCTAACCAATATTTTTCAATATCTCCTTCTTTTATTATTTATATTTATATATGTTTTACAATTACAATATTCCATAACAATATATGAATATTTATTTTATTGAAATTCATCAATGAATTTTATAACATAGTTACTATTAACTTATTTCATATTTTATTTTTCTGTTTCATGTAATTAACCAACTAATCCTCCATGATTCTTAAATGTAGACATGGCCACAGCTTTTATTGCTACATTCTCATTAGTTTAAACATTAATAGCCTTTTATAAATGTTTTTTATTACATGATAAACTTTACAATAACCTCCTGATCCAATTAATTTCACTATTTCATATTATTTTAATCTCTTTCCTGGAATATGTAATTACTTTTATTTCATTATAAATTTTAATATATATATATATACTTTTAATTATCAATCATCAGGATGGTTTCAATATAAAAAAATTGTTTAATTCTTCTGTTCTGAACATTTTATGGAGTATATGAACATTCTAAACTATTTATTGGAATTCAATCAATTCATTAAAACAGAACATAATCTTATCATAAATTCTAATATGCTTACAACAACATCATGATATTATGTAATACCAAATCCTTTAGAATCCCATACAAAGTAGTTTTATTTAGTTTCTTAATTACCAAGAGATTAAGATATCATGAAATCCTTATACAATTCTCCATATTATTACATATAGAATTTAAAAGTCTTATTATTTATTCCAAATGCTTAAAACATAGGTAGAAATAATTATCCTGAAGTATGTCTAACAATAAAATGTTTAATTTGAGTCTAATTTTCTATACATTTTGGAGTAATTGGATTATTTTGAAGAGATGAAAATAGAGTTTGTTATAATTTATTTGAATCAAATTTCTCTATCATTGTTTATGCTGCCTCTTTACATTTTGTAAACATATCCAATGAATTATCATCTGATATCATAACAATTCCAATTGTATTTTAATAAAAGAAATTTATATAAGCATACACAAATCCCATTGCTGATAAACCTGGTAAACATATTGGAATCCAATTTTCTCCTTTTTTCAATTATCCTTATCCTTAAATCATACTTTATATAATCATAATATCAGATGTCTTAAATTCCATATTCTTTTATCTCCATATGTCAATTACATAGGTTTCAGTCAATAACAAGGTTGCTATTACATTAGACACTTTAATTTCCTTTAAATTATTATGAATAAATGATCTCAAAGTAACTGTCATAGGCAAAGTGCATATTGAATTAAATGCTATACATGGAGAATACAATCCATTCTTTATAGCCAATGTCAATAGATTTCTTGATCCTCCAACAGAGAATCCTAAATCATAATTTGGTTTTTGTATTAAATGAACATTTGCTTAATCTGTTACTATAGATATCAATTAAGTATTAAGAAAATCTAACATTTGATAAATGATAAATTCTGAATCCTAAGTAGAATATAACAATTATATATATACTTAGAGATTATTTGTTGTGCAAATATAAGTGATTTAATTTCTCTATAGAATGTAAATATTAGATTTGTCATGTGAAATCTTAAACAAATTTTGTTTTTCTTTGTCTTCAAAAAAGAATAAAAGAAACTTTTAAAAGATTGCATTGATGGTTGCTAAAAAGATGGATGACTTTTGATATTTTATTAATCTATATACTTTGATTTCACTTCCATATCTCACATAAATGGGTCTTCCTGTATTGGTCATAATAAATACATGTCTTTTATGTGTAAAAAACTCTGGAATATCAGGTGATATTTCTTAATAAGAAACATTGATGACATGAGGTTTGTATTAGTATGATTCAGTATTCATTAATTAATATTAATTTTCTTATTTAATGTGAACATTTTCATTCAATATTATGGCTAAAAGACAGCATTATATCTAGCAATTGATGGTCCTCTTTCGAAATACTCTTATCTTGTATGATAAACTTTCTCAAATTATGGCTATTATTTATATTATAATATATATACTTATAATGCCATCAAACTTCCTCCTTACCAAACAGCATATCTTTAAAAGGGATTCTAAGTAACATTAACTTTTATTGGTGCAGGCTTTAATATAATGAAGAAGATAATACTTTGAATCCAGACCTTTATTCATATTTTTAGAGTCTGGAGTCAATTCTAAGTTAGACTTATTATTCTAATCTTTGAGCAAATCCATCAAACAAAGTAGATCCTCCTGATAAAATGATATTTTAATATAATTTCTTTCTACAATCTACAGGAGAAGTTTATATGGATTTATCAATTATTTCATCAATAGGAGATCTCCATTTACCATCTAAAAATTCAGGATGGAAGAACATTTCAGGTCCTAAAAATCTTTCATAACCAATATCAATTGTATATTTTTCTTTAGTAACAGAATTCTTTCCATAATATGTTTTAAATTTATTTTTTTCTCCTCTATCATAAGCTTAGAATTCCTTTATTAAATCACCATCACTTATACAATATCCATATTTTTCTTTAACTTCTCTAGCTACTTTTTTTATATCTTCTGCAGGTATATTTTCTCCTCTATCTTTTAATAAAGTTTAAATAAATTGGGTGATGTCTCTTCCTGCCAAAGGAATATGTTTAATACATGATCCTATAACATAACCATCTGAAACAGGTATGCAATGTGTTACACCATCTCCTGAATCTAAGACCATACCTGTTAATCCAGCTGTTTTTTGATATTCATTAACAGGAGCAAATGCACTTGAGAAAAGGGATAAAACAGCCTAAACTGAAATATGTAATCCTTTTGCATTAAATGTTTCAAAAAAGATTTCTGCAATATTCTCTCTATTTTCAGGAGGATTCTATATATTATTATTGCATATTTACCATAGGTGGTTCAGTCAAAATGAAGGTTGTTTCATCTGGTTCAGCTCTGAGGTAATCAAATATACTTCTATGCCAAAACTTTTCCATAAGATCCCAATTTTCTACAATACCACTTTTCATTGGATAAAAGATATTGTGAGACTTTGTATAGTCATATGCTTCATATCCTATGTAATAATCTAAATTTTCATTTGTATTTTTGCTCATTTAAACTTTTTACTAATATCAATTTATCGAATTACTTTTTCTTAATGATCTGCCACAACAGTAGGAATATCGAATTATGGTTCAGTATTTCCAGCCCATCCCATCTTTGTAAATCCAGTACCTACGATTTACTTTAATCAATTACCATTATCTATGACACAAACCTTGCTTTGATAAAACCCTTAGTCAATTGTTTATTGCATATGATACTCTATATATATATATATTTTATATTAATAATTATTAGTTATTCATTAATCTTATGATTATATTAAACTTAGTTATTAATAATGTTCATCTTTTTCTTATAAAAGAGTATGAAAAAAGTTATCTACTCTTTTCTATTTTATAATTAATTGAAATAATTATTTCCCTTTATAAAATTTCAATATACAAGTAATTTTAGAATGATATAATATATAGTTCTAAAATTGATATTGAATCTATCTAATATCAATTCTATTTTGATTTTATAAATATCTAATAAAAATATATAATCCCTCTTATTAAATATCAATCTAATTAATGTGAAACATCAAAATGTTTTATTCTTGTTAATTTATGAACGTTTATATTGAGTATTATTATTTAAATTAGTAGTTCCATTATATTTTGATCACTTTTTTCCTTGTCTATCAAAGCCAGATTCAAATAGACTACTTATTAATCATTCTAATATTTAAAAATTATGTTAAATTTATTAGTGTAAATATTAGAATCTCATATTGGATTTGATCAAATTCCGAAATTAGAGATGCTAAATATATGAAGGATTGTTTCTATATTATTCTACTTCGCTTGAATCTTGTAATCAATTTGCTACATTCTCATGATTATGACTACTGTAATCCAAATCATATAACTTATTACTAATTTTACTGAGAATCCATATTAATTTCTCTGGTCATGATGATATCTCCTTTTGGATAATAAATTTAACAACTATCAAGAACTAGACATATAATCCAATTTGTATAATATTAAAATTATTACATAAATAATAATTATATTATGCAACTCTATCTATCAATTAACTTTTAATTATTTTCATTCTTAATTTTTATCTCTTGATCTTCTAACATTAAAGACTACTTTATTTCTATATGATTAGTACTTAAAACATAAAAAGTAATTTGAGGATATTTAAAAAATGAATTTTTTACCTATACACATATAATTACCTACTCTAAATTTTACAGAACATAAATAAAATCCTTAGATTTTTTAGTATATATATCCACCCTCCCCTTGTTATTCTTTTCTACAATAATTAAGATCATTTATGATTGAGAGAGGATAAACAGTTTACACAAACTTCTATTAGATTTAGATCAACCCCAATAGCCATATCTATAGATATCAAGTAATATATACATCTCTATTCTCTCTTTTATAGTTATCATTTTAACCATTCTTATCTCCAGAATAACAAATATCTAAATGGAGAGAAATATTCAAGATTGCTAAGTCAGGTCTTCAAGAGAACCTAAAAGTCTTCATTACCAATAACTAAATCCTCTATTCCCCAATTAGAGCTTAAACCATGGGACTACTCCTTGGAGTATATGAAGAAGAAGGAACTAGTCATTCAATTTCTATTGAAGAGAAGGCTGTTTTAAAACCAGGAGAACCTGAATATACAGGGTTAATAGGAAGATTCTTTAAAATGTTATTAAAACAATAAAAATTGTTATAAATTGGTAGAAAGTACTTTAACACCAAAAATTTAATTAATTTTGATTAATTTGGATTAAAAGTATATATTTAATTTAATTATCTTAAGGTTTTACCTGGAGTGACATGTAGTTTAATAAAATAGGAAGAATAAGGAAAATATTACATTAATATAGACTCTTCATTTAAAATGTTAAGAAGCACTACTATGTATGAGGAATTAAGAAACTCAAGAGATTTTTCTTAATTGGAAGGAGCCATAGTGATGACAGTCTATAATTATAAATTCTATAAAGTGAATAAAGTAAGTAGGGAAATGAATCCAAAAAGTGAATTTGAAAATTTGAAAGGAGAAAAGATGAGTTACATGCAATATTATTAAGATAAGTAAGAATAGAATAATAACACATAAAAGATACAAGATTGCCATAAAAGACGTAACTTAACCATTGATAGAAGTCTTAGAGAAATCTAGAAAGAAACAAGAAGAGAAGATTATCTATTTAATACCAGAATTATGTGTAATGACAGGATTATCTAATGAAATGAGAAATAATTTCTAAACAATGAAATAATTATCCACTGTTACTAAACCTAGAGGAGTAGATAGAGTGAAATAAGCAGATCAATTTATTTAGTGTTTTCATAATAAAGAGAGTGAAGAATTAATAAAGAAATGGAATATTTAATTAGAACCAAAATGTTTATAGATTTAAAGTTCTAAAATCAAACCAGGAAATATTATGATGGGCAATAATACAGCAATAAATATAGAAACAGGTAATTTAGATAGAGATACTCAGACAGCTATGTTAAGAGGAGTAGGTTTAGAAAATTGGGGAATCTTATATAGTGATAGAGATAGTAGATAAGCTGAAGATTTTATGAATTGTTTGAGAGAGAGTATTGAATATTGTAAATTTTAATGCAAAGCTCCTCGTACTTTTGTACTTCATTCAAATAGAATTGAAGATTGGATTAAATAAATAGATTTAATTGTATAATAATCATAAGGACCATAAAAAGTAACCTTGTTATTATTAATATTAAATGGTCCAAAGAAGAATGCTCCACTTTATACAGATATCAAAAGATATTTAATTAATGATTGTCCAATAGCTTCATAAGTTATATTGAGTTCCACTTTAAATTAACCTAAAGGAAAAGTTAAAACTATTTGTAATAAATTATTGGTTCAAATTTGTGCTAAAGTTGGAGGAACACCTTGGGGAGTATCAGAATTACCATTTACTGATTAACCAACTATGATTTGTGGAATGGATGTATATCATTCTACTGGAAAAGCAAAAAAATCTATGTTATCATTTGTATCAACAGAAGATGAATTCTTTAGTAAATATATGACTTAATCAATTGAAATGGAAACTGGAGTAGAATTTTCATTCAGTTTATGTCCAGTATTAGTCAAATCTTTGCAATCTTTTTGTGGAGATAGGAATGGTCCTTTACCATCTCGAATCATTATATTTAGAGATGGTGTTTCTAATTCTTAAGCAAAAACTGTTATTGAAACAGAAGTAGCATAATTTAGATAAGCAATTGAATAAGTTAAAACAGAAAAGAATTCTGACAAACCAATCAAATTGATAGTATTATCAGTCAATAAAAAAGTAGGAGCTAAATTTTATGCAGGAGAGAGGTAATTATTATTTTTATTATCATTAATATAGAAACTTAGATAATCCTCCTTAGGGTACATTGATAGATACTGAAATTAGCAATGGAAAAGATGATTATTATTTGATATCTCAAAGAACAACTTAAGGAACTGTGTAGCCTACTCATTATCATGTTTTAGTGAATGATTTATTTGATGAACCTAATATCCTTAAGAAATTGTAGGCTTTGTCTTATAAATTGTGCTACATGTATTACAATTTCAGTGGAGCCATTAAAGTAATTGTTNTTAGTGTTTTCATAATAAAGAGAGTGAAGAATTGATTAAGAAATGGAATATTTAATTAGAACCAAAATGTTTATAGATTTAAAGTTCTAAAATCAAACCAGGAAATATTATGATGGGCAATAATACAGCTATAAATATAGAAACAGGTAATTTAGATCGAGATACTCAGACAGCTATGTTAAGAGGAGTAGGTTTAGAGAATTGGGGAATTTTATATAGTGATAGAGATAGTAGATAAGCTGAAGATTTTATGAGTTGTTTGAGAGAGAGTATTGAATATTGTAAATTTTAATGCAAAGCTCCTCGTACTTTTGTACTTCATTCAAATAGAATTGAAGATTGGATTAAATAAATAGATTTAATTGTATAATAATCATAAGGACCATAAAAAGTAACCTTGTTATTATTAATATTAAATGGTCCAAAGAAGAATGCTCCACTTTATACAGATATCAAAAGATATTTAATTAATGATTGTCCAATAGCTTCATAAGTTATATTGAGTTCCACTTTAAATTAACCTAAAGGAAAAGTTAAAACTATTTGTAATAAATTATTGGTTCAAATTTGTGCTAAAGTTGGAGGAACACCTTGGGGAGTATCAGAATTACCATTTACTGATTAACCAACTATGATTTGTGGAATGGATGTATATCATTCTACTGGAAAAGCAAAAAAATCTATGTTATCATTTGTATCAACAGAAGATGAATTCTTTAGTAAATATATGACTTAATCAATTGAAATGGAAACTGGAGTAGAATTTTCATTCAGTTTATGTCCAGTATTAGTCAAATCTTTGCAATCTTTTTGTGGAGATAGGAATGGTCCTTTACCATCTCGAATCATTATATTTAGAGATGGTGTTTCTAATTCTTAAGCAAAAACAGTTATTGAAACAGAAGTAGCATAATTTAGATAAGCAATTGAATAAGTCAAAACAGAAAAGAATTCTGACAAACCTATTAAATTAATAGTATTATCAGTCAATAAAAAAGTAGGAGCTAAATTTTATGCAGGAGAGAGGTAATAATTATTTTCATTAATATTACATTAGAAACTTAGACAATCCACCTTAAGGTACTTTGATAGACACTGAGATTAGTAATGGGAAAGATGATTATTATTTGATTTCACAAAGAACAACTTAAGGAACAGTGTAGCCTACTCATTATCATGTCTTAGTAAATGATCTATTTGATGAACCTAATATCCTTAAGAAATTGTAGGCCTTGTCTTATAAATTGTGCTATATGTATTATAATTTCAGTGGAGCCATTAAAGTAATTGTTATAGTTTTAGTAGATACCTGCACCTATCCAATATGCCCATGTTTGTTCTAATTTTATAGGAGATAGATTCGATCCCAGAAAACCATAATCCTTGATTAAGCCAAACCCAATATTGAATTAGAGAAGATCACTCTTCTTCATATGAAAATTATTAAATCAAAATAAATAAATCAGAACATTAAATAATCATTATTATTATTCCTAATTCTTTTACAAATTTTATACATTTTATAAATTAAGATGATTACAATCAAGACCTTTGAGTCTTCTAAAGATCTTTACCTATTAATATAATTTAGAGACATCTTAATCATCATCATCTTCTTCATCCACAATTTATTTTTTAATTTAAGTTTTTTTTGACAATTTTAAGTATTTATTAACTGTATCTTCTGAATCTTGATTTCCTTATATGACTTTAACTCCTTATTCTGATCTAAATTTATCCAATCTTTCATAACAAAATGGGTCCATATTGTATCTACCACTATCATCCATCTCATTAAGAATTTGAATTGGAATATTTCTTATTTTATCATTTATCTATTTACTTGCATTCTTTTTCTGTTACTTTATATAATATTTATCTATTTGGATAAGGTGAATAACCAAAACGTTTCTTGTAATCTCTTTCTTTCTCTCTTATAAATTCAGGATCCTCTGGAAATGATTAATATCTAGATTAGGTTCTCTCTTCAATCATTTAAGAATTCCATCTCCACATTATAACAAAAAATACTAAACTTACTACATACAATTCTGGACTGTTCCTCAAACTATGAAATAATGGATTGTCTTAAATATATTTGTGTCTTTGTCTATGAAAGTCTCTCTCTTGGAAATCTTATGTTTTCCTACGAAAATCATAGTAAAACTATGTATTAGGATTTATAGGTCTGTATTATTACTGTCTTTATTAATAAGAATATTAGGTTCTTGTTTCTTAATTCTATTATCTCCCATTAGATTATTACTATTATTCTATCAAAATCCTATCATATTTCTTTCTCTCATTTTCATCTGATAATGTATTATATGCTGCTACTATTGATTTAAACAATTCCTATAATTTAAATTAATTTATACTTAATCACTCTCCTTAGCATTTGGAGAATCAGGATGATGCTGTTTGGCCAGAATATGAAATTGCTTTTTTATCTCTTCATTTGTAGCATCTTAACGAACTCCCAGTAATTAATAAAAATTTTGTGTTGAGAATCTACATTTACTAAATATTCTTAACATAAAGTTAATAAATTAATAATCAAATGAAAAACTTGATAAAAGCCAATACTCATAAAAATGAAATTGCTTAAAATGATAAAGTATTAAGAGATATAGAACTATATGAAAAAATATTTCTATCAAACAAATATGAAAATAAAAGATAATAATCTTTGTCAATTAGAAGATTATTACCAAAAATTTAATACTCTCAGCATTAATAATCAACTATTAATAGTCAGTAAAAATTCAATACTCAATTCGATTAAGATACTAGTTATTCAAATCAATATTATTAAGTAATATATATCTTTATTTTTTAAGGATATCAGAAAAAAACATATACATTTCTCATTAATCGATTGTTCTAAGTTTTTAAAATCTTAAAATTCCACTCATTATTTCCAAACAAAAAAATAGCTCTCACCATTAAAATAGAAAATAGTTATTGTAAATCATTAAGGGAGACCATAAACATATTTTATTCGATGATTATCAGATTTATTATTTATTACTATTCAATCAAAAATACTAATCAATTATTTTATAATATTTTGTTATTAAGTCTTATATATTTTGATTATTCAAAATTCACAAAATTTTATTATTTATTAAATTTATTATTGATATTTGCGCGGTATGCCAAAATAAAAAAAAAGTGCCAAAACACAAGAAAATCAAGAATAATAAGAAACATAAATAAAATACATTAGATCATCTAAAATTGAAGAAATCGAGAAAAAATGTTCTGAATATAAAAAAATCTAAGAACAAATATAAGAATTAGGTTTTCCTGTAAATCCAGCCTCTGATTAAGTTATTAAAGAATTAATATAGAAATAGGATTAAGTTTAATTAGGTAAATATTTAGCTTCTCATTATTGGGGAAAACAATCTGAACTACTGACCAAAATTAATGAAAAATTAGTAGAATATGGTTTTTAAGTTACAGATGACCTATAATGTGAACAAATTATTACTATTAATATCAATAATACTAATATAGGAAAAAAATATGATTATTAAAAATTATTTGAATTAAAAGACACAGCTTGTCCTTCATAATTATTAAATGTAGAACATTATAGTAGTGAAATCATAACTAAATTAGTTGAATCAACTGATAATCCTGAATTATAATAATTATTGACAATCAGAAAGAACATCTAAGATTTATTAAATAAGTTGGATAAAATTAGAATATTTTCAAATAAATTATAGAATATTAAATCTTAATCAGCAGAAGATAAACTATTGAAATAATTTGACAATTTAGAAAAAGACTATTACCTTGTTAAAAATACTTAATTCAACTTTGAGTAATTATCCTAATAGAAAAAAACAAAAACATCAAAGAAAAAAGGAAATCCTAATAAAGGTGACAATAATAAAGATATTTAATAAGATTAAGATAAAAATTAAGAAGAAAAAGTTTAAAAAGATGATGATTAATAAGATTAAAACTAATTAAATACTAATCAAGAACAATCAGATAAAGTAAAATAATAAAAGAAATCTAAACAAAGATAACCAAAGAATATGGCATAAACAAGTGAAAATTAAGATGGAGAATAAAATTCAGAAAAAGTACAAAATAAAAAAGATAAGAAAACCAAAAAGACAGAAGATAAATAAGAAAAAATAACTGAAAATTAAGAATTGTTAAAATAAAGTTAAAATGGTAAAAAATAAGAAGATCAATAAAATAATACAAAAAATTAATCAAAATCGAAAAAAAAAAATAGCTAATAATAAATACTAGAAGATCCAAAATAAAAAAAATTAGATTAGTTTTTTTAAAAAAAAAAAAATTAGTGATTTAATATTAGATATTAAAATTATAGGATATTCTATTCTTTCTATTAAACTGTCTTGTTTTTTATAAACATTAAAATTTTATGTATAATTTAATGAGTTTTATTTTGATAATATAGAAACAATGAAAGAGTTAAATTATTATGATAAATTAATACTGTTTGACTAATATTATAAATTAAGTAAATAAATTTTATCAACTCTTTTTTGATGATTATTGCCATTCTTTAAACTTAGGATCCTCATGTAATTTTTCCATATGATATTTTGTTAGCTATTATTTATTTTATTCAAACTCTTATAGAGACTATTTTATATAGCATTATTCATATATTGTTTTCTATTTAGTACACTATCTAAATCTAGAGCTATAAATTATTATTACTTTGTAAGCTATAAAATTAGAACTAAACAAATTGTAATAAATACTAGGGTCTCAATAATAATCTCATTCTATTAGTCTTCAAAGACAAAAAACAATGACATCCAAAATTGAGGTTTACTAATTTAAATTAATTAATAAATATCAGATCCAATTGTGCTTTAATCCTACATAATTTATAAGTTTGGCGGGACTGGTATTTAAATTATAATACTTAAATAATTCTTAATTATTACATTAATTTATAATTATTTTTATTACTATTCAAGTTTTGAGTTAAATGAAATTTTAGAAATTTTTCATTAAAGTATATAATTAAGTAAAATCTTTATTTAAAGTTGCTTAAACTCTTATTTTGAGAAAAGTCAGAACACAATAATATTATTAATCTTATTTAAAAAATAGATTTACATGATGTAAAAATAACTATTTTTTGTTTAAAAGTAAAAGATTAAGATAAGAAAAATTTCAAATTTTAAATTGTGAATGCAAAATGATTGAAATAGCTCTAAAAATAATATATAATACATTTTTTCCTATTTAATTGATAAGAAAGGAAGAATTATGATTATTAATAAATTATTACGATGCATATATATATTGAATTACAATTTTATGGATAATTTATAATAAAAAGCATAAAAACTATTTAATTCCTTATTTTTTATAAATTATTGTTTAAAAAATAATAATAATAATTATGTTGTAAATTTTTTAATATTTACTTAATATGATAGTCTAACATTTAAGAAATTGATATCCTTTTGATTTTTTGTTCATAATTTTATTAATTAAGTATTCTGTGATCAATTTCACTTTTAAATTGTTCTTATAATCTCTTAATAATTTAAGATATTCTAAAAAGATGTATCAAAAATATAAAAGAAAACTATTTTAGAAATTTTTCTGTGATCATATATAGTAAGATAAAATAAAAGGTAAATTAAAATTGATTATGATATTGTGCAAATCAATAAAAGTTCAAGTCAACATCCGCATTGCAGACAGTTTGATCTCCATTATATTATTTTATGTTGGGAGTAGTCCATCCACCAAATGAATATTTAGCATAGTCAGAAAATGATGGGTTATTATCATAATGAGCATACCAAAGTGGTAATGACGTAAATTTAGCACATGCTGAAACAGATCCAAAAATAGTTTCCCATTAATATTTGCTAGAATAAATACCTACTAGCTTTCCTTTGTTTTTAAAATTTGTAATCAAATCATTCAAGAAATTACAATTTCCGGTGTAATCAGAACTACTCCATCCACAACCAGTACTTGGATTAGTTTCAACATCCACCCAAATAGTACCATATAATCCATTAGTTGAGTTCTCTTCTTCTGATCCTAATGCGCTTATAAAATCTGAGACCTACTAAGCAGCTGTAATTTCTAAGAAATGTAAATTCTAATAAATTACTTCCTTTGCATGGAAAGAAATATGCATCTGTAATTAATCCTGCAGCTTAAGCATTTTTCATATTAGTTGCAGCATTTGGATCAACTGCTCCATAACTTCTATATCCACGAATAATGGCAAACTGATAACCTGCATTTTTGAAACAGGTAAAATTGTTAAAGGCATCAGCTATATCTATACCTTTAACGGCTAATGATGTTGTGATTAAACAACTGATGATGCAAAAAATGATGATATTTTATTACATTGTAAAAAATTAATTGATGAAATCACATAATACATCTTTAGTGAAAGT